AACACAGATTCAGTATTCCTCAAAATGAATAAAAATAATGCAACTCAGAATATGACGCAAACCTGCAATAATTAAATGTTAAACAACACAAATAAATCCCATTCTATTAAGCAATGTCTTTGCTTCTGACCTTCGATGATCCAGTTCAACCGTACTAAGCAAAAATTACTCTAGATGAACATTTGTGTCTTTTTTTATTGCTGAAGCGTGTTGAAATTTCTTCTTCTGCATTCTACTGTACGGACGTAAATGTACATTCCCTTCAGCCTGAGGCTTATTCATTTCACTTTTGGTGTGAAAAGGCTTTTATATTTGCCAAAAATATAACTTTTTTTATTTTAAAAACAAACAAGCAAGCCCTGTCCAGATTTAAAAAGTAACGCAAAAGTAACGTAACGCATTACTTTCAATAAAAAGTAACTACGTAACGTAATTAGTTACTTTTTTATGGAGTAACGCAATATTGTAATGCATTACTTTTAAAAGTAACTTTCCCCAACACTATAAGATCACTTTATAATAACCTTAACACATTCCGAAGCTCTGGTCTTCTCTTTTCCTCATCAGAATGAGTTGAGGGAAAATGGCGAGCTGTTGATGTTCCAGCTGGGGTTCGACTCCGAGGCCTTCGCTTTGGTGTTTGCTGAAGATTACAGAACAAAAGTCCTGCAGGGGGAAGCTGGCAGAGAAACGTTGGGAACTGTGGAGAAATTTCTGGCCAAACTAATACCCGGCTGCTCCGATTTGAGTTTCAACAAGGAAAAAATGCTTAAGGAGTTCCTCTTTACAGACCCAGAGATAACGTAAGGATGAGGACACAAATGTTCGTATGTTGTTCGTTGTCTCTTGTACTTATTTGAAGATGCTTTTGGACTTGCAGGCAGCTGGTGAAATCAGGCGTCCTCACTGTGAGGGATGCGGGCAGCTGGTGGCTTTCAATCCCGAACTCTGGCAAATTCATTAAGTACTTCATTAAGGGTAGGTGTTTAACAAGAGACACACATACAGTGGATTTCCGTTGCCTGCTGTTTAATGTCTTTTTTCCTAACAGGACGCAAAGCTGTTCTCGGCGTGGTTAAGAAATCCAAATATGGTGAAATCCTCAAGACTGAATTGGAGGGACGCCGCACAACTTCACAGGTCAAATTCCAGATGAAGTATCACATTCATGATATAATGGGAGCAGAGTTAGTGGAATGGTAAGACTGCTGTATCATTGAATACATTTGAGTTGTAATTGCGAGGACAATGTCTGATGTCTAAAATGTGATGTGTTTATGTCTATTTGTAGCATACAGACAACATCAGGAACATTATTACGATACGTGGACGGAAACGTCAACTAAGAACTCCACTCACTTGACTTGAATTGAACTGTGTAATGTATTTATTGCCATATTATTTTGGTTACAAACAGCAGAATCAACTGTGCACAATATATATATAATAAAATTTTGCCAAACTTCTTGGTGTCAAATGGTGTCTTTGTTGGCACCACTCAGGATCGCCACTAGTTAAGGTTTTGAGACCATATGTCGCTACCAGTTACATGGCATTTACAGCTTAAGACAATTGTGTCCAGAACTGAGTGTAAATTACCACGGTAAAAAGCAAATCACATATTTTCGGGAGTCCTGCACCAACCTCACAATTTAACCGACTGCTGAAGGCTAAAATCGGAACGACAGAAGGTTGGGCGGAGCTACATAAGGTTTCTAATTGAAACAAAACGCAACTTTTTAGGGTTTAATCTAAATTTATTGCGTTTCATTATCTCTGTAAAACAAGTGACGTAATGAATACCCCTAAAAACAGGGTTACAATCTGGCTATGACAGTGCAGAAATCGCTCGATAGGGTGATCAAAAATGATGCACATTCTGTATTTGTGCCTCGGGACAGTTCAAGTAAGTATGTAAAAGTGTAAAAAGTCAGAATACCTTGCACATGATGTGCTGCTCAAATCAATAAGACTTGATTTCAGAATATAAACACATTTGACAGTTACATGTTATTAGTACAGTAAGAAGTAAAATGTAAGTGATTAAGTGGAATAAACCGCATCAAGAGAAAACTTACTAATTCCTGTAGTGTACACTTTTGACAGTAGTCTTTCTTTTTGTAAAAAGTGTCAAAAAGAAGAACGTTTCTAAAAATGTGTTAACAAAAAAATAGATATGGCTGTAGATGGTGTATTATAAATGCCCAAAGAGCATCAAGGTGTTCATATACCGCTAAATTAAGATTGACACTAAATGTCCCATGTGATCCATTAGATATTTTTTAAAAAAGCCATTGTTGAACGCTGATATTTGGGGACTAAAACTAGTTCTGCCCATTCTGAGACTTCTTGACATACTGGGACCAACAAAACATTTCCTGGCCATGTTTCACCTCAAAAGAAAAATGGAAATTATACTTTGATTACACAAAAATAAAGCCTATTTTTAGGATCATGCATTATGATATATTATGACATTCAATTACAATTAAGCCCATTTTCCCAAAGTTCTCATTATAGTAAAATATTATAGTAAAATTCATACAAAAAAAATTTAAAAAATTATATTGCAATAAGGGAAATTTAACTGTGACAAAAAGGTCCTAAAAAGAGGTTTCATTTTTTTTTTGTTTTCTAAAAAATGTAGGAGTGAAATGTGGCTAGGACATGTTTTTGTGTATTAGTGTGGCCTTAAATTACAGTATAACCTCCCCAAAACAAATGGCAAATAGTGTGCACGCAAGTATAAAAATCAGTTTGGACACCTCATCCTTCCATTAACAGAACCTCATGTTTCAAAAACAGGTGCGAGGTAAGCTAACTTTATCGCTTTCAAAAAAATGGGTTAAACCACAAGACATGGCATTTGCTTCACAGCAGCCAACAGTTAGTTCTGGTTTGCCAAATGGTTGCAGCCCTTTAGAGGGTAAAAAGCAACAAATGTGGTGGACACAGTACCGCCCCATCGTAACGTAGTGCTATTTGGCAGGATCTTCATTTCTTTCAAATTAAGACTGTAAACAAACCTTACGGGTTCTCAACGAAAGGAACCAACTTCAGGACATTGTTAACCTTCTAAAAGTTCATATCCATTAGTCAAAGGCCGCAGGTCATCCAATAGTATGTGTCTGTCTAAGGGAGATGGGTAGGGATAGATTTTTTACTACATCTATTGATAAAAGTTTTGTGAAGGTATAAAGTTGTACTGGTAATTACAATGGAAGAAGTGAGAAATGGAAACATGGTCTCATTTTTAACTTCTTCCCGTAGAAATACAGTTTGGATCACAGCAATCTTTCCTCAGAACTCTAGAGCAGCAGGCATTTCCTCCTCCTCTCCTTGACAGGGGGAGGGCAGAGCACGGCACGGATGGCCTCGTCAAACACCGTCTTAAGGCCGCGCTGTGTGAGCGCTGAGCACTCCAGATACTTCACAGCTCCTGTCAAACAAAAACAAGCACAACCACTTTCAACATAAGCATGATGTGTGAGAAAATACTGACTTAGCATTCAGAAAGCTTAGTAATGCGGATGCTTTTTATGGCACAGTAATGTGGAACATTTACAACTCTGTGAACTTGTATATTGTAAAGTCCAAAGTATACTTTGTTTTTGTAGAGACATGCGGTATTCTCCGGTATTTTGCTGTTGTTGTTCCATCTCTTTAGTTTTGTTTTCTACTGTGAAAACCACAAGTATACTTTAGGCTTAAAGGGATAGTTCACCCAAAATTGAAAATTCTGTCATCTTCGGAACACAAATTAAAATATTTTTGATGGAATCTGAGAGCTGTCTGACCCTGCATAGACAGCAATACAACTGAAATGTTCCCAAGTCTAGAGACGTAGCAAGGAGATCTGTAAAATAATCCATGTGACCATCAGTGGTTCATCCACAATTATACGAACCTATGAGAATACTGCGCAAAATACTGTGTTTGTGTGCAAAAGAAAAAAAAAAAACACTTTATTCAACAATTCGTCTCCTCCACATCACCCTGTAGCGCCATTTTGGAGAATATCAGCTGGACGTAAACAGCGTAAGTCGTTTTTTTTTTCTTTTGCGCACAAAAAGTATTCTCGTGGCTACGTATAATTGCAGATGAACCACTGATGTCACATGGATTATTTTACCGATCTCCTTGCTACGTTTCTGGACTTGGGAACATTTCAGTTGTATTGCTGTCTATGCAGGGTCAGACAGCTCTCAGATTCCATCAAAAATATCTTAATTTGTGTTCCGAAGATGAACGAAGGTCTTACGGATTTGAAACGACATGAGGGTGAGTAATTAATGACAGATTTTCATTTTTGGGTGAACTAACCCTTTAATCTATTATAAAGTAATAATATTAAACATACCAAAAGCATTCATTTGTACTGTTTAATATTTTGAAACAAAAATTACTCTAACTCTAAAAGTCTAATGAGATTCTGAAAACAACTGGATCCATTGAACGACTGAAAATAATTTTAGCGAAACCTAAAATTAGTCCTAAAAACAGGGTTCACTTTTGTTATTCAAAGTATACTTGGTTTTTTCTTCTGATTTTTATGTTGGGCCCAAACATATGGAAAACTACATGAAGGAATCAATTACAATTATATTGAAAATAATTATAATAATTTGAAAATACAAATCTTAAATGCAAAATGGCAACTTGATTCGTAAATGGATAAAGAAAAACAACTGCTTTAAAATGCAGTTCGAAAGTGAAAGATTTGTTATAATCATTAAATAATTGATTTATTAAATAAATAATTTATTAATGGACATGTTCTCATGAGGTTTTTAAACATGCGCTGATTCCACCTACCAATCTCTTTGGCCATGGCCAGGCCCTGAGGGTAGGTGATGGGAGTGAGCTTCTTCTCCTTCAGTTTCTCAATAGTGTCCTTATCGTCTCTCAGATCAAGCTTGGTTCCTACCAGGATGATTGGAGTGTTTGGACAGTGGTGCCTCACTTCTGGATACCACTGAACACACACAAGACAATGCGCAATGATCAAAACAACCAGCACAAGTGAGAAATGGACATGCAATGTCAGTCCTGCATGCACTAATTATTTCAAGAAGTAAAGCTCTGATAATATTTGCTAGCTTGGTTCTACCTTCTACTTAGAAAAAAGCACTTACCTTTGCACGAAGGTTCTCAAAAGAGGCAGGACTCACAAGGGAGAAGCAGATGAGAAACACGTCCTATGGGAAAAAAGCATTCATGATGCACCGATGGAGATTTACAGGTTCATTTCCACTATTTACAGCCAGAATATGAAATTCATATGTGGTACATTTTATGCAGTGGCTTATAGTTTTGCTTATCTGCCAGCAATGTCTCAGACTGACAAGAAATGCTGTTGTTTAAAAGTGACAGTGTGTATGACAAAATATGATTATATTTAGAAAAACAGACAGGAGAAAATTAATGCATGACTAATCGATATTCTGTGAACCCTGTTGACTACAGAGTCACTATTAGTTCATAGTCCAAACATTTGTGGCTGTATACATTACCAGTACAATGCTAATGTAACTGTAAATGCCATATAGTCATCATCATTCATTTATTGCAACCTCAGAAATCATTCAAAAGGTACAACAGTAAACCTGCCATAACAATTTTAGGGGAAGTCTAGACTGAGTTACAGAAAACAATAGCAAGAATGGAAGGATAACTGAGACTGTAACTTATTAAGTGGACAAACAAGATTTAAGTCCACTTTCATGGAAAGGGACAGTGTAAATTCAAAGGTACTTTTAAATTCCTACATACAGTGAATTCTTTTATATGTTTTCATTAAAAAAAAAAAATAAATAAAAATGGTGGGTAAAGAAACACACTGGTTGGCACTAAAACCGAAACGCTTCATTAGCTTCTAAAAAGGCTGGCTGCAGGTCTGTGATCTTACCGTTTGAGGGTACGACAGGGGACGAAGTCTGTCATAATCCTCCTGTCCAGCTGTATCCCAGAGACCCAGATTCACTGGTTTCCCATCCACCATCACATTTGCAGAGTAATTATCAAATCTGTCAATCGAAAGGCAATGCAATTCTGAATGTTAATCAGTGACCACCAGGTAAAACTGGATGTAAAATCATGCTGACTGTAAACAAATGCCGAACTCTCTGGAATACATGATTCTGAATGGCCGAATCACAGCTCAGATAAAATATGTCACTATATATTGGATATTTCCTGTTGCCACTTGCAAAATTATGGTGCTATTTTCATGTCTCCAACTGTTTTCTATGCTGAAATGGACAAATTTTCTTAGATGAAGTTTAAAGCTAATCTACAATAATAATTGTAGATTAATAACCAGTATTCTCAGTTGCATTATCGTGACAAACTCGAAATGAGTGATCAGGACTGCGACATGAAGTGGAGGTACTCACACTGTGGGGATGTATTCTCCAGGAAAGGCATTGGTTGTGTAGCTGATCAGCAGGCATGTTTTACCCACAGCTCTGGAATGAAGAAGATAAACACATCACGATAAACACATGGCATGCTACAAGATAGTATCAGTGAGCAGAACTACTGAAAAACTGGTCTGATGAAGTCACTCTGACATAAAAGTTCTCATTTCCTCCTGAGAACCAGAAACAAAAAAGCTTTGTGAATTTAATATTTTTTTATATAATTTAACAATTTTTTTTTATTCTATTTTATTCATGTGTTAAGCTATGTCCTCTGTAGAGGACACCAGGACTCAGTTTTTCTAAAATAAATAAAACGACAACATTTAAAGACAAAAACAATGGGATTTTTTTTTTAAATCACCAATCAATTTTTTTGATTTTTTTTTATACCAAACTTTGTATATTATTCTCAACTATGTTATAAAATATATAACAAAATGATTTGATATACCATTTTACTTTATACAATACGTGTGTACAATTTCCATAATCTGGTTTTCCCGTTAAACACAATGTTATCTATATAATGTACCTAATTTGCATATTAATGTGCTGTTGGGACAGCATGTTGAGAAAAGAAGTGTAATAAATAATAATTGTCCAGATTTTCATAATAATAATATCTAATATTTCATAAGAATATTGATATATAATTTATTTTCCTATTCATTTGTTGTGTCTCCCAAAATGCATAAAAAACATGCCTTTAGTCCTGGTGTCCTCTACAGTGGACATGTATTAATAATTGGACAGATTTTCATAATAATATCTAATATTTCATAAGAATATTGATATATATATAGTTTATTTTCCTATTCATTTGTTGTTTCTCCCAAAATGCATAATAAACATGATTTTAGTCCTGGTTTCCTCTACAGTGGACATGTATGAAATCAATATCCTGTTTCATAACAGGAAGTCATATTTTGATTTGATTCATATTTATATAATATATATATATATATACACTATAATATACAATAGTCAGAATAAATATATATATATATATATATATATATATATATACACATACATACATATACACATATACATGCACATATATACATATATATATAAGTGATAAGGAGCACATACTCAAGGAGGAAAAAACATCAGTTTTATACAGAGGCCCAAACTGAGCACAAATATGGTATTTGGTGCAGTTGCTGATATTTACATGGGCAAAAAGAAAGATGAAATTCTGATAGCTTGTAATGTAAATCAATGAGATCTTTGTAACTGTATAGCAGTTACATAACTGCTTACATAAAAAGCCTATAAATATCAGTTTTCACTCTATATTTTCCAATAATATGTCTTAGTAAGATTATTTAACCTGATGTATCACATCTGATACTCGCATTTAACATGGTTTTTCTGAAAAATGATGTGAGGATAATCAAGTAAAAGTTGCATCAGTCCAGTAAATGTTAATCTTGAAATATTACCAAAAAAATTAGTTATTCTTATGTTTACTTTATAAAAATCTTCACAGATTTTACAGCAAAAAGACATGTTTTACAAACTGAAGATGGTGGTTTGCCTAAAATGCCTTTTATTTATTAAAAAAAAGGTATAAAAACTATAAACCAGATGACAGAAGGCATGTAGTGGATTTGTGTACAACTGTTTTGACCATAGGCATTATAGGTTTAATTGACTGACAGTGACAGCCCTAAAAAATATATTGATATTTTTCTAAAAATATATTGATTGTCTGGCTGATCAAGTACAGCATATAAACACATTATATTACATCATAACAGCAAGAGCTATAAAATGTTGAGAAATGCCAGACGGATTCAGTCCATTACAGTACAGATCAAAGTCCAGCCATGGTCTTACTGTACACGCACTGAAGCTTGAGGTTATCTAGGTCCGCTAAAACAATCATAAATTCACATTCTGTGTTTGATGTGTGGGTGTATCTTAATAACAGTGCTGATTTTTACAGGAATCTACTGAATAAGTCAAAAAAGTTCTCATATGACTAACACCAGGGCTGAGATTTCCAGAATGTGACGTATGATTTTGTGCTGTTCACTTCCTCTCATAACTGAAAGCAGTTTTGATTTCAGTCAGCAGGCAAATAATAAGAGGTCTATGGTACATTTGTGAACCTTAATTCTGGTAGACTATTTAATAACAAGAGAAAATCAAATGTAAAATAAAAAAATAAAAACATGCAGTACATGAATCAAGTGCCATCCACAAATAATTAATATATTATTTCATTCTCTTATAGGTTGAAGGCAGCACTTAAAACTATGTGTGTAAACTTGGCAAGTCAATGAGAAACTTATATTTAGGAGTTTCAGATCTGCCTTAACAGTGCAATTATCAACTTGGCTAAACAACTTAGATTTGAGCAAATAATGCGGAAATCAACACATGGACGAATTATGTGTGTTTATAAGATATCATCGGCTGTCCTCTGTGATGATACTATGGTACAGTCAGTGATGGTATCATAACACTGGACTTAATGTTACTCTGAGAAACTGCTAAATGCTGTCTAAGGTGGCGGTTCTCTAGGCTTTGAGACACGGCCAGTGCAACAAAGTGAGCCCAGACATCTTTAAGGTGAGAGAATGTCAATATAGACTCAAGAGACAGCAAAGTTACTCACCCGTCCCCGACGACCACACACTTGATGGCCTGCATGACTTTAACTCGATATGTACTCTCCCTCCGCGCGAAATGTACCAAGATTAGTCAAATAAACGACGCCGTTCAAACCAACACTTGTTCAGCTGCACAGTGTGACGCTTTTATACAACTAGTTTTCTTCCTTCGCTCATTCCCACACACAAGAATGAAGTCGAGTAACAAAGTTTGAAGCCACCACCCAAGAGAGGAAGCGACTCCAACAGATTTCGCTCCTTCTTCTTCTTCTAATAACGTTTTATGGCGGATGGCAAACCAACTTCTGGTGCATTTACCGCCACCAACTGGACTGGAGTGTGGAGCACTAATAAATACTTATTTATATTTATCTATATTTTATATTAAAAAAAAAAAAGTTTTTTTTTTTTAAAAACAAAACACACACATTCCTAAATTCTCCTACACAAATTATGTTTGGTTTCTTATTTAAAAGATCTATAAACTTTTTAAATTCTGGACCATTTGCTATAAGACTTCTGGCATTCCATTGCAGAATCGTTAAAAGCATTATTATTATTATGTACTTCCACATGTTGTTTGAGTACTAGATTGAGTCTTTAGCATGTCATTTATTTTTTCCAACGTTACACCTGCTACATTCAAGTATCTCTCAGCTGCCCTTATTATGATTTTAATTCTCTCCGTTCTGCTTTCTGTTTGAGCAGAACAATTTACCACTTCAGCCATAAATGAAACAAATTCCATTTTCCCGATCACCAAACTATCCTCTTTTGTCTTTCTCTGAGCCACAGTATTCCCAGTCTATTCTTGTATTTTTATCTCTCGCTGTATCTGTTCGTTTTGTTTAGCTTTTTGGGCTGCTTCAGCATAAGTCAACCCCTCAGTTATTCTCACATTTTGAATTTTCACAGCATGTTTGTGAGCAATGCATCCCCCAAATCCGGCACTATGCTCACCTCCACAGTTGCAGCATTTTGCCTTCGCTCCTTCGCCACATTTACCATATACATGATCACCCCCACATCTCGCACAACGTTGTCTTCCTCTACAAACTGCACTAACATGTCCATACTTCTGGCACTTGAAGCATCTAAGTGGAGGAGGTACGTATGGTCTTACTGGGTAACTTACATAGCCTATTTTTACCCTCTCTGGCATTCTTTCTTCATCAAACTGAAGCATAACCGATAGACTGTCCATCCTTTCTTTATTTCTCACATATTGAAGCCATTTTGTTCCAATTACCTTCCCCCCTTCAACGCAACTTTTCATGCTTGCATGGATTGTAAAAATTTACTAATTTTATGTTTCCTCTGGGACTACATATTTCTATAACTACACATTCATATTCATTCTGAACATTTATCCTTCTATATGCTAGATTATCTTTAATATTCCTTGACACATCCTGCCAAGGCATACCTTCACTATCTCCATCCGTACTTTCACCCATGATAGTTGCATCCACGGTCCTCCAACAGATTTACAAGCGCACTTCCGCTCGGTCCCCTACAGAATAAAAGTCCCCCAGCTAACTCCCATCTTTCCCTGCATTTATTTTGTTTCGTTTTATTGATTTATGTTGTTTTAAAGAATTACAAATACAGCCAGGGGTAAAAACACATTAGTAGAAACAAAACAAAATCAAAAGATAAAGTTAAACAAAACACGACAATGTTTACAAATATGAACACATTTTACAGCTTTTTTTGTTTTGTTTTTGTTTTTCAAACTTAACATATTTAAGTATAGCTGAACCTCTGCCTTTAAAATAAAAAAGGCTTATATCACCATATTTACATTTATGTATACTACATTTAGCCAATAGAAGTAGCAGATTAATTAAATCATATTATTTATGATAAGACATGCCATACAGTATGCATGTCAAAAAGAATGTTGGTTTAAAACGTTTAAAGCTTTACACATAGTGTTCACAATTACTATTGTGATAACCTCTTTTCCTGAGAAGACACGGAAGCTTGACATTATTTGTATTTATTTATTTATTTTTTTTGTTAGAACAGGAACATAAACATATGCATAAACACATGGAGGATACAAAAACAATTAAAAGGTAAACAAATATACAAATTATTTTACAATCATAAAAGGGAAGCTTGACATTATTTGGCCTAGTTTTGTATCTCAATTTTTTGGTTCTGAATTTCTAATTTCACCTTCTAAAAATTCTGGGGGAAAAAACGGCTGTATAAATATAGTATATACAATACAAAATAGATCATTTTTATTAAATGTCACATATGTAAAATTCTAATTTACAGACTCGTTCAACGGGATCGGTGTGTAGTCAGATTTCTGAGTGATTCTTTTGAGTCGGTTGTTTTTAGTGAATCAAAACAGGGCAAGGGCGTGACCGTTTTTGTTTGATTTTCGGATTAATAACTCTTATGAGCCGGTTCGCCCAGTGGCGGAGTGGAGGCTCCCACTTGTTTTAATTCATTAGTATTTGTTCACTTAGTTATTTAACATTCATTTGAGGGAATTAAACTAAGTTTAAGCTGATCTGCTTTCTTATCCTTTAATTTTCCTGGGTTTAGGAAGAAGTGCACTTATTTTGACGTTGACAGGAAGTAGAAGTTGATGACATCCGTTCATGAGTCCATCAGACAGAATAATAACAGCTGGAGAATGACTTCAGCTGAGGCGAGATGACTGTTAGCGCGTTGAATGCTCTGTAACACACGCTCATGATCATGTGTGAGAGTCGTCAGTGAAGCGGCCTCTTATGGCGGGACTGTCGCAGTTAGTGCTGCGTGTGTCGGGCTCGTACGGTGTGTTCTCGAAAGGGCTCAGCAGAACTCTGCTCATCTTCTTTGGTCTCGCCTGGAGACTCAGAATCAGATTCCCTTACCTCTATGTTATCGCCTCCATGATGTTTAACGTGCGACTGCAGGTGAGAATCTGTCTGTCTGTCATTCTGCCTGTTTGACTGACTGTCTGTCTGTCTGTCATTCTGCCTGTTTGACTGACTGTCTGTCTGTCTGTCATTCTGCCTGTTTGACTGACTGTCTGTCTGTCTGTCATTCTGCCTGTTTGACTGACTGTCTGTCTGTCTGTCATTCTGCCTGTTTGACTGACTGTCTGTCTGTCTGTCATTCTGCCTGTTTGACTGACTGTCTGTCTGTCTGTCATTCTGTCTGTCTGACTGTCATTCTGTCTGTTTGAATGTCTGTCTGTCTGACTGTCATTCTGTCTGTCTGACTGTCATTCTGTCTGTTTGACTGTCTGTCTGTCATTCTGCCTGTTTGACTGACTGTCTGTCTGTCATTCTGCCTGTTTGACTGACTGTCTGTCTGTCATTCTGCCTGTTTGACTGTCTGTCTGTCATTCTGCCTGTTTGACTGTCTGTCTGTCTTTCTGCCTGTTTGACTGTCTGTCTGTCTGT